CTACGATATTACTCGTACTTCTAGTACTACAACTGATACTTCTACTACCATACTACTAGTATTTCTACTGCTATTAATACGACTACTACTAATGGTATTACAAATACTACTATGGCTAATAGTATTACAGCTGGTTCTACTGGTATTGATACTAAACCTACTATTACTGCTCTACTGCTAGTACTACTAATACCACAATTACAACTATTCATTTATTCATCTCAGCTTTTGTTATTTCTGTACTTTTTAAAATTCAATTAAGCTCCTGCAACTTCTTAGAAAATCTGATGGAATTCAGCTTCCCCACTTCCTGTATTTTCAGCAATTCTTTAAAATAATTTCAGTTTTTCTTATGCCTCTATTAACAGCAATGTTTTAATATTCATTTCTATATTCTTTTTTTGCAATATTTCAAATTTATTTCAGCTGTTTTCATTTCTGATTTTTCAGCAAATCTATTGAAATTCCTTTCAGCTTCTCCCATTTCTGTATTTTCAGCAATTTCAAATTCATTTCAGCTTTTCTAATATCTGTAATTTCAGATGTATTCAAATTCCCTTCAACTTTCTGTATTTTCAGCTATTTTTAAATATTCATTTCAGCTTTCAGCTTTTTGCATTCCAACGCATTTTCAGCAGGAAATGCATTTTCTAGTTGAATCTGCTTCTCCTTATAAAACCTTTGTAAAAAATGCCAGAATTATCAAAGGAAAAGCAGATCATATGTACAAAGTCTGAGCATCAAAGGAACATTTACTTTTTTCCCTTTAGTAATTTTGTTAATTTCTATGTTAAGATAATCATCCAGTAAAATGTTAATGCACATAGGGAACTTATTTTCCCAACTGATCTGTTCATTTAATTCCAGTACACATACAACTACATCTCCTTAAAAAACATTTTTCAAAAAGGCAAAAGACACAAACATGCTTAAATAGTCTTTATTTCCTTTGATCCATCTTTTGTCCACGTGTCACGACACCAGAACCACTGATGAGTCAATTTGGTGAAGCTGTTAAATGAGTCTTGTTCCTGAACTTCACACCCAGATCAACAATATACACTTTGAAAGATGATGAGGTTTCCATCAAGGTACAGAAATTCCCATCTGTTCAGTGTCATTTTTAAATTAAATATAAATCAAAAATAATTGACCACAACAAACAAAAACATCAAACATCTGATCTGCAGTTAGTAGCCTGTATGCATTTACTGCTCCTCAGAGGAAAAGTCATTCAAAAGGGTCTAATGATTCAAGTACATATCTTACCATGAATCCCTATGCGGCCTCTACGCAGCACATGGATAGACTGCAGGAGCCCCCCCACTCGCATTAAAAAATATACATGAGAAAAATAAAAATTAATTCTTCTCATCATTGGTATCCCATTATTGTGTATGTAAACAGTTCTTAGCATTTTTAACAAATCTTAAAAAACAGCAGTGCAGTACTGCTTACAATAAATTACAATTATCCTCCAGAAATGGTTAAAACATATACATTACCTTTTTTAATTAGGCATCTTCTGTTTGTGTTTTGTATGCATTATATTTTATGATGTTAAATTAAGTTCTATTAAAACACTCAAACACACACTGCACACATTTTCTTTTAGGTTGCATTGTTTGTAAAGTCAGCTTCTGCTTTGCCAGTTGGAGGTTTACACTGGAGGTGTAAAGACAGAGGATGAATAAGGGAATAATGAGGAATATTTAGAAAGTGGCGAAGAGTATTTAGAGAATATCTTCGTGGCCTTTTTGTCGCCGTATTTGATGCTTGAAAATTAACCTTCAGGGACTAAATCCAGAACGGCTCACGTCCATAAAAAGCACCTTGTTGCAAAAACCGAGGTCAATAATACAGATTTTAAAGAAAGACTCGACTGACCCGTCAAGCCACCAGGCAGCCGTTTGAGAGCGGAGTATCAGAAATGATATCCATCAGGGCCCATAACTTGGACGCTTCCAAGGATCTCAAATGTACCATGAACAGCTTCAAAATGTTTGAGTCTTACATGAAACTGAATACACCACATGGTCTTCATTCAAATGATAAAATGTATGGAAGAACTTTTTGATATCTGGAGATGACGCGTCTTTCACTCCTGTGTAATGAAGTTGTTTCAAGCACACATTAACATGTTTAACATTATTTCTACGCTCTACATCGAGTTTAAAGCACCAAACCAGTATTTGGAAAACCAAAGACAATTGGAATAGGGATGGGTGAATATCAAATGTCGGGTAAGAGGCATAGGGGAATTGCCTGGGGCAGTGAGAGCATGGAATATAACATCTGGCATCTCAAGAACTTGCTTACAAGTGAAAAGCCCTGTTTTAGTTTTTAGAGTCTTTATGTCTGACAGCTGAAGGCATCATTTTGCCTCCATCTCAATATAACTCAGGGAGTTCGTTGCATACATTCCTTTCTCTTCATCACCATCCTTCTCTCACATGACGTCAGCCCGTTTGTCCCTAACTTTGCTCCTCTGTTTAGTCCTGGCCTTGAAAGCGGCAGAATTGAAAAGATGCTGTTGAAGACAAGAATTTAATTAATCAACAATGTTTTTCCTTCTCACACTCGATGCCCCTCGCTCTCCATTTTGCACCACGTGTAGCTGAACACTGATGCTGCATAAATTACATACTCAAAAATGCAATCACACACACACACACACTTTAGGTCAGATTGTTCAGTGAGCAGGTTGAGATGCCGTTACCTTCTCAAATCTAGAGATCTTGGTGCCTTTCACCGTAGCGTCCAGGATGAGGGGAGGGCCGAGGCCGAAGATGTCTCTCAGTAGTGGGTTGAACTGAACCGAATCAGAAACACACTACAATTAAAGACGTGGGTCTGGAGACACTAATCCATACTTCAGGAGAAAAGTATTTCTTGGCCTGCTGGTATCCCCATATGTGACAAACGTGTACGATGTAATAACAACATGAACAGTCAAAAAAAAGAATAAGAATTAAAAAAAAAAATGAGTGGATCACATTGACATGTTTGAAAATCTACGATCCACTTTTAACATCTACTTAAATATGAAGAACTGAATAAACTGATCTGTAAAGTCATCTTACAGAGGACCTAAACTAGTGTTGCCTTTCAGTAACATTGCTATTTGTCAGCCTACTGAAATTGGCTCTTGAGTATCAACGTGAGGAGTTTGTTTATTTGAATCTATTTGCATTATGAGACGAAAAAACTAACCCTCCTATCCCTCTATGGGGGTAAGGCAGAAATATGTGAATCAAAAATAATCACGACTCGGTTTAACCCATGAGCGGACCGTGAGCGAGGCTGTACGAGCAACTTCTTTCCTCTGCTTTAAATCAAAGTCATACGCTTCACTAACGCGACAAACGATACACCACAGCTTCAGTGCGTTTCCTGACCTGTAGGTGGTGTCTGACCCCGGACTCCAGGATCTCTTTGAAGGCGTCGTAGATTCTTCTCCTCATCCAGCTGTCGATGTACACGCTCTCCATTCCAAAGCTGATCTTCTCCACGTTGAACTCCTCATTCTGAAGGAGAAGAAAGGAAACAAAGTTAAAGGCAGTTTATTGCAAAAACAGAAGAAAAATCCTCACACCCCGTTACTGCTATGACACAAACCTCGATGTAATGTAGCACATCTCTGAAGACGGAGCGCTGTTTCCGCCGGTCGTTTTTGGCTCTATGCTTATTGCCATCTGTGGCTAAACTCTTCAGACTTTCACACATACTTTCACTGTCCAGCTCAAATTCCTGCACACAAGAGACAGATTTAGGAAAAATATAAACAAAAGGGTACACAATTGTGTGTGTGTGTGTGTGTGTGTGTTCACCTCATCTATATCCCGTCTGAGCTCCACCAGCAGGGCGATTGTCTCTCCCACTGCGATCCTGTAGTTGACGTCACTGCTCTGCAGACACGCTTGTAGTTTGGGGAGGTGACTACAGGGAGGGCGAGAAAGTCAATGCTGGATTTATCACAATGTCACGCCCATAAAACGTTTGTCCACGTAGAGAACTAAACAACAGGGCTAACTTTGCTCTTCCCTTTAGTGTGGACTGAAGGGTCCACACCGATCCATTCATTTTCATTCCGTTGGCTACACTCACTGGTCAAGCAGCACAGTCAATCTGGATTCAGGACATAGCGTGACGAGCAGCGACCAGGCCTGCAGGGCGGCGTTGTGTAGGGCTGGACTGCCGGGTTTGGGGGTGGGCAGCGTTCCCTCTCTATTGGGGTAGGAAGTGGTGAACACGCTCTCCAGTAGGGCCAAGGACTTGATCAAGTCCTGAGAGGTCCAGTGTTCATGTTGAGGGGAAACCGAAAGAAAGTACAATGAGGGATGAGAAGACAACCACACTGTTGAGAAGTACAATTGTATTATCACAAATAACAGAGCCGTAGACACACATTTGATCATTTTATCCAGGAGATTCTTCAGAAGGCTTTTGTCACTCAATATGTTTTAGTCAATAATAAGTAAAAACAGGTAAAGAGAAATCTGAACTACAACAATTTCCCTGAAACACGGCAAGAATACAGAGATCACGATTGATTCAGCCTTGTCCTCACCTCTCCTTCTTCAGCGGTAGACACATAACAGCACATCCCCAAAGCTCTGGCACACTAATGAAAAAGAAATGCAAATACAATCAAATGACCAGACATTTATTGAAACAAAGACAGAGTGAAGCGTCCCTTTGCACTGATGCAAAGTTTGCAACATCAAAAGACATGACCAATGCAGTAGTTGCTAGGATAATCCTAAATCCTAGTTTTTGTTCATCACTAGGTCACACCTTCCAATGGGCTATAATTGTTGCTTCAAAGTTCCCAAGCTCGAGAGCCAAAAACAGTTGGTGTTAAGTCACAATGTGGGAATGATCCTAAAATGTTCCTCATTTAAAAAGTGCTCTTATCTAATTTTGAAGGGGTTTCTGTATATGAAAGAACTCAAAAGATTTGCACAATATCAGAAGGTTTATGTGATTACTCACACTCTGGCGTACTGCTACGTTGGCACCGTTGTCGATTAGAATGGCGGTGAGGATGGGGCGAACCATCTTGAAGCCCTCCTCCGCCTCGTCTCCACCCTCCAGCTGGATACAGAGCAGAGTGAAGACTGTGGCCGCCGCTGCCTGCTCCTCCACGCTGCCTGAAACGGGGGAAAGAAGGCGTGTATGTGTTTAACTGCAGTTGTTTGACTGCATTTCTGCTCCACCGTGGGAGCCAGAGGACAACATGTTTTGTGCACTACTGGGTTACTTCCTCTTACCCTTTTTGAGGCTCCTTTCCAGGCAGTCGGTGATGGTGAGGCGTCTCTCTGTCAGAAAGTCGTATAGCACTCGGGAGGAGAATGCCTGTCGCAACGACTCGAGCCCCCCCAGGCGCGTCTTAGTGCTTAGAGGCACGGAGGGGATTCATGTTAAAAATCTCTCACTGCTGACTGTTGTACTATTTATAATCACTGGGTGAAAGAAAACACAAGCTCACCTCTTGTCCATCAGGTTGTCTATACACTGCTTGAGCTTGTCTTCGGTTTCTTCCTGCGCAGTCTGCTCATCCACTTGCTCCCCTCCTGTTGGAAGAATCAACACACAGCATTAAGCTACCTATATTCAACTTGATGTGTGTAGTTTTACTGTGCTAATAAATATGCAAATAGAAGCCAAGTGCACCAATATGTTGGCTTCATTCCTTTTCTTTGGTGTATGTAAGCGGTACCTTGCCCATCACCCAAAATACCTAAGCACGTGTGTATTAGATCAATATATATATATATACACAAACCTAAGCCCTCTTCAAGCACAGAAGTGCACTCGCTGGCACTGCTGCAGTGGCTGACAACATCCGACGTCAGCTCATCGTCGCTGGCACCAGACTCTCCCTTCACCCCATTTCTAACACCTGGAGACAGACAAAAACAATAGAAGGGAAACAGTGAGGCGGGTGAATACTACGGGAGAGGGGGATGCTCAGGAGGACAAAATACCAAAACACAACAGGAGGCAATGACATGAGGCTAAAGGTGCCTCGCGGATTAGTCTTCTCTATTAATACATCAAAAACACCCTCTACTACTACTACACCAAAAACTGACTACACAAAGCTGATTCTCACAACTTAAGACCAGACCAGTTGAGATTCTAAAAATGCACTGTTACAGTGGTATGACTCAAGTTTCATTGCCCATGTAATTTATACATTTGCTCTTTAAAACGCACTGTGATCAATCCCATAACACAAAGGGTTTGATTATGATGTTAATAACCATAGTGGAATAATAGAAAATCCTTCCATTGTCTGCGATGTTCCATGTTTTTGTGTCGATACTGGGCGGTAATTAGTGTTTTTATTGTTTCCACACAGCGTCGTCCTGTGAACCCCAAGAGGCAGCCATGCTAAGCTAACCAAGATTCCTGCTGACTCGACTTTTTCTACTGTGTGTGGGATTAATGGAGACCAGAGTGGCCATTCACTTATTCAGTGGGCCAGTATGTTCAATCCAGAATGACACACACACTGTGTTGTGTTCATGTTTAGGTCAACCGGGACAGTAGGGGTCACTTTCAGTGTTGCGGCGCGTCACATCGTTGTAGTTGCCCCCCGTAGTCCATTTCTCTGTGGAAAAACATTATCCAAGTACAACAAGCCGCAAGCCCAATGTAGCCAAACAGTTTGAACAATGTAGCTTTGGCCCAGTGAAATTTTTATATACTGCTGCTGCTTGAACAGTAGCTGGATAATTAAATGCCAAAACTGTACTGTAATGACACAATTTTTCCATGTTGATGTCCAAGTGGTGGCTGCCTTTTCACTCACCCCAGTATCCTACAAGTAAAACCAGGTGTGTGTGTGTGTGTATGTGTCTCTCTCTCAACTGGCAAACCTTGTGAAATCTCCAGCTTTTCATTCCCAAATGATTAACATGCCTTTATGAGGTAATGTGCTGCACCCTCTTCCTTTCACACAGCTATCATTCCCAGATGAGATAACACTTGCAGGCCTGTGTCACTGACTGGCTTCCGAGTCAGCATCCTTGACCCACGGGCCACCGGACGGGTTACTTCAACGCTACACAAACAGTTACTTGCCAGTTGCAGAGCAGCCCACGCACAGCAACGATATGATATGCGTGCGCTCTGAGCCACGACTCGCGTTGCTATTTTCTGCTGACATAGCAATCACTCAAACCGCTCCAGCTGTCACTCCCCGAGGGTGAGAATCTGCTGACGGAAAAATCAGAAGTCCAAGCCAGAGTGTGGAGTTGGAGCTTTTGAGTCCCTTGACCAAAGCTACAAGACTAACTGAACCGGTCTCTACAAGCTGCTTGCCTTACTACAACTTTGCAAACAGGACCACAGATTCTGTCCAATTTTCCGCCTGTAGAGACAGAAGGCCTTGACTGCATTAATCCAAACGTTGCATGATCGTTTGGACTCAAGTCACTAAGCAGCCTGTGCAGGTAATGCATGAATAGAGAAAAGTTCTAACTATTCAGTGCAAGAGGGAGGCTGCCGGGTTCACTGCATGCACCCAAAGCGGGGTTCGGGTACGCATGGACGAGCCTCCAGCTGGACACAGCCGTGGTCAAGGGGTCAAGCCTAAGACAAGTTACCTTTCGGCGAGGCTTTTGCCAACAGATGCAGCTGAAGGACCTCTTGACGGAGAGAGCCTGTATGTGACGTATGTGACGGAGGGATGAGTGGTTGGGAAAAGGGTGTGTAGATTGGAGCAAGAACGGTGAACAGACGCATGAATGAAAGGAAAGATGGGTCAATACAGGGATGACCATGATGGGAGAGAGAGAAAACGTTAGAAGTGAGCACATGTTTCCTGGAACTGAAATTACATATTAAATAATACTGCAAACTAAGAATCCCTGAATTTGTTAGTAGTATATGTCTTTACAAGTTACAACACAACAATGATTATATATACATACATACATACATACACACACACACACACACACACACACACAGTACTGGAGCGTGAGCTTGCCGGGTGTCGTCACTCCACACAACGTGAGCGTGCTGTAACATCCATAGGTGTAAAGCCCGCACAGACACACGCATGCTGCGCACATCTACTCGAATGTGTTATACAACGAATAAAACTAGCAACTGTGACATCCAAGCAGTTTATCTGTGCGAAACGTACTCGTCTCATACGTAAAATGCACCGATAGCCCACGCTGCTCTAACAGAGTCTGACCAAAGTTACGTTACCTAACTTTTACCTGGCACGTGGCTGCTAAAAATAACCAGCTGTTAACCGTCACCCTGCAAGTGTAGCTCTATTAGCTAATCAGGGCCCGCGTCGCAAGCGCAAATGATCGTTTAACCGGAACCGAAAATGACCAAACTAAATCCAACGATGCCGCATATTAACGATTAAAACGCAGAGGTTTAAGCATACAACCCCGTGGCTTTAACACGTTAAGTGTTACATGGCAGTCTGGGGAAAATGGCTAAAGTTCAAGACGAAACGTCATCGCTGTTTCATGAAGCCACGTGGAAACGATTCCCAAACTATACAACAACACGGCGGCTGAGCGCGTATCAGCGCGAAAGTACCGCGTTCGTGGCACTTTAACCGCGACCGCCGGTTACTCTGCCAGAAAGTGACCGGTGAGTTCGCACGGCAGCTTTCGGCGCACTTACCCGGCTTGCTGGAGCCACGTTTCCCTTTTTTGCCCCGCGGCATTTTGAGCGTCGCTTCTGGTCCACCGTCCACAACCAGGCTGACCGACTGACGTAGCCGAGGCTAGCTAGCAAGCTAGCCGGAGTTAGCCCGCTCGCAGGCGGACCGTCGGTTCTGCTCCTCGCGGACTCGACGGGTGGCGCGGCAGCGGGCTGGAGGTTCTCCGTGGTTTACCTCGAGCTCCGGAGGGGGTGTCAACGTCCACTAAACGACACCCACTCTCGCGCTCTTGCTCGCGGTGGCACGTGTCCTCTACGAGCACCGAACCACCAGCGACGCTCGGCGACTCCGCGCTGTTGTCGGTCCCGGAACGACGACGACGAGTCGGCGCAGAAGCGCCTTTCACCAACGGCGGTGACGGTGTATTATCTGTGGCGGTCCCCCGGTAATCTGTATCTCACGCCGGGCTGGGACAGCGAGTGGTTTCCAGAGTGTTTGGGACGGGGTTTAGAGCACGTTGCTGTCGCGAAGCCCACCATCTTCCTCTCAGTAACAACTGGCCGAACCGGCAGCGGGGGGGTTGCCAGTTTGGTTGCGTTAGCATCCCCCGCTTGCGCGGTCCAACACGACCCGTCACATGATGCGTGACTTAAGTCACAATGTCTCCTAGAGTAGACTAGACGAACATATTGTGAATTATCTGAAATAAAACAATCTCATTTTGGTTTATGAAAGCACTTTTCAATAGAGGTGGAGAAGACATGCATTGACTACAAAATCATAATAATAGTTGTGAGACAGATTATAAAACGCTGGGGGCTTTAATCCTGTTCCATATCCCAATTCTTTGCCAGGCTGACTGACCACATTTATGTGTCTTGTATTAAATAATAATAGAGTCCATTTCAGTCAAATTTGACAGTGGGCAAAAATACATTTCAAATGAACTTGTCTTTAATAGAATAGGCAAATATTTTCTATTAAAATAAACAATGTTATGCTAATTTATTACATGAAATTCAATGAAATATTAGAATCAACAGCGAAAAAGTGTGTCAATGACAAAAAGTAAACATGGAAATCAGTAGTTCTATGTTTATATTAAGTATGTTATTTTTAACAAAAAAACTCATTCAAGGCTCAACAGAAAGTTTAAAGACAAAGAAATGGCGTCTCATCGGGTTGCAGACAGAAAACACATCAATGACAAGGAACATTTCTCCAAGTTAGGATATTTTTTGCCTCAGGTAGCGTAGACTTCTCTTTCAGCGCTCATCACATTTTGAAGTAAGTGAAGAAGGTAAATACGGTTTTATTTAATGTGGAGGTTTATGAACAACTCTCCAGAGAAACTAGAACTACATTTCCTTCCATGCAAGAACATCTCCTGATGAGAACCAAAATGCCAACTATACTTACGGAAAAGACGTGATTGTGTTGAATGGATTTCAGTTCTGGAAATAATTTTCACCTCCGTTAATCAAGTGGTTTTCAACTAACAACAACATGAATAGAACGCTGACTGCATCTTGTCAAAGCCTTTCAAATCCCACACACATGCAGGGACTGAACATCAGAAGCACCATTTGGAATCTTATGGTTTTGGTCCAGCATAAATTATCTCACTTTTCATTAGCAAAACTTATATACTACAACAAAAAGTCAATGAAATCATTGTGTTTACGGATCTACGCAGCCTCACTAGTTCTACTCTGTCAGCCAATCAGCTTAACCCAGTGTCCAAGTTTAAAAAAGAAAAACAGGACTTGGGTTTGGGAATCTTGTTAATGGGACATCTGAGCCCATAACATTATACAAACATGTTCTGGCTCAACAATGCCGCTTGTAATTAATTTCATGCGCACACATCCATACGTGAAACCGTGTTACTAGATGATGTCTGTTATTTAGCGAGTTTGAAATGTCCAGCACAAGTTCTTTTTATGACACGTGAGGTCCGGTCAGTTCATCATGTGGAAACGGACATCACTGCTTCAGTGTCTCAGAGGCAAACTGTCATGCATTTAATGTGCGACACAGTGACAGTGTCTGATCATCAGACAGGAACACATCATGTATCGCATAACAGTTTAGCATTTTTGGATTATTTCCTCTCAGAGGACTCATCAGTGAAGACCCACACTAGTCGTGCATTGCTGGAGGTAAACAGAAGGGGGCGGCGTTGGTAAATATGGGACAGAGCGCAGGAACGATCCAGTGTGATAACGTGTGCTGTGTATGAATGTATGTGTGTGTGTCTGCGCGTCCCTCCTATCCAGAATAGTAGTTGGTGGGGACGAAGGGCATCTTGCTGACGGTGGCTGCCACTGCTTTTTTCCTGACTTCGACCTGGATGGCTGTTCCATTTTTAGCGAACGCTGCATCCACGTAACCCATGGCAACGTTCTTTTTCAGGCAGGGAGACGGGCAGCCGCTGGTCACTTCACCTAAATAAAGCAGCAGAGAAAAAGGTCATACTTTCTGTCTGCATCCCTTGTTTGCCACATCTTACAAAAATGGATATTCACTACAATGATATGGTACGTTATACCTTTAGAAATTCTACAATGTGGCTTTAATATTAAAGAAAAAACATCTTAACTCCAGGTTTGAACTAAAGTTAAAGTTTGGGCAACTCTTAATTCAAATACATGAGTACCTCAGCCTTAAAATTGTAAACCACTTTAACCGCGTTGGCTTTCTGACCTATGACCTTTCCGTCAGGGCTGAGTATGGGCGTGTGCTGTCTGACGGGCGGGCCGGAGGACACCAGGCCGACTCTCTTCCTGGCCGTCTTGGCTTTGATCTGAGGCACAATGACGTCCGCGCCGGGGAAATCCTTGTTCTGACGCCGACGCTTTCCTACACGTGAGAAGAAGAAGCAACAGACTGAGTACACGGAAAAGACTGCAGCGTGTATTCAGATCTCCTCTTTGCTCACCAATAGTCGCTGACTGCTTTGGTGTTCGTGGAATCTCATCCAACGGTCTGCTTGAGCACAGACATCTTACCTATGGTCCATACTAGGGTGGCCTCCACGGGCGTGGTGGTCTCATCTATGTCATTTCCGTAGAGACAAAGCCCCGCCTCCAGCCGCAGACTGTCCCGGGCGCCCAAACCGGCCAGCTTCACCTCACCGTTAGCCAGCAGCTTCTCCGTCAGCTCCACCACTCTGGACTGAGGGACAGAGATCTGAAACAGAGACACAGACATGTAGAGACGGGTCTTCGTCCATGGAGTTTTAACTGGAAACAGTTATCACATTGATATTTGTTGGATGGCATGATCTTTTTTTCATTCAAATATATATTATCAAGCAGATAATGAGTAGAGGTACTAAGTTAAATTAATGTATTACTGAGGAATCAGCATTTTTTTACAGAGCTCAAAATGTTCATGCAATAAAAACAGGAAGGGAGTCAAATGGAGGAGAGAGGGGTTGTGTGAAAGAGAGACAAAGAGAAGCAAACTCCCTCACTGAGAGACCCACATCCATCCTGATATCTAGGTCCAGCTGAGCGACAGTTACAGAAGATATGAAGATGAGAAATGTGTCTGCTGGTCCATCGGTTTGTTCCAGACTGAAATTAGCATCTTATTCCGCATAAGCGTGGAGGGAGATTATAAACTCAGACATGTGTGAGCATGTGTATCTGTCCGTCTGAGTCTTTTACACGTGGTGAACATCACTCACTCTCCTCTCCTCTTAAAACGGCCGCTAGGGGGCTCGTGTTGTCATCAGCTGCTCTCATTTGGAATCTTGTTTCCGCAAATGTTTCTGAATTGCTCCCGTCCAGACGAAACAAAACACAAAGGCCACTGTCAGAAGGAACAATAAATAATAATTGTCTCACTTCCACCCCGTCTTCTCCGGTGTATCCACAGCGAGTGACCCTGCAGCCAGGAACACCAAACACAGTGGCCACGGTGGAGGTCATGAAGGTCAGCTTAGCGAGGTCCTCTTTCAGCCCCTCCTGCAGCACCCGAGCCATGGACGGACCTGATAACACACATCGCAATAGATTAACTATCTACACATACTACAGCATGGACAGTCCCACAGAGGTGTCAAATGGCCAGATAAATGAAATAGTAACTAAAGACTCAGTGTGGGGGAAAGAAAGCCAGCTGAGATAATGAAACGTATACTGTGAATAGATTAATTAAATACTTGTATGGCAAGAGACGTCTAAAAGCACAGTTAATAGAGATGCAGATCTTTTAAGCATTTAGTTTGCCGATTCTTTCGTTCTAAAACGAAACATCATTGCTCAGGATAGTTTACCTGAATAAGATAAAATAGCACTAACTGATGGTTGGTTAGTTATTGATGGCAAAGATGAAGAAAACGTCTTTCTGTTATAACTTCCTTCAATGGTGGCAGGAAAACAAGAAAAAAAGGCAGAAGACAAAGAATGATGGGTCAACATGCTGGGAGGAAAAGACCTGACGAGAAGGACAGAATAAACAATAGAATAGAGGATGGGGGAAAGGACCGTAAACAATATAAACAACAATAAACAAAGAAACAATATTTTACCTTGCACAGCAATCAGCGCCGCATCAAGGAACTCCAGATCCACATCGAAACCTGCAGCTTTGAACTCTGCCAGTCTGGCCTACAGGCAAAACGCACACCCGTCCCATCAGTCTACACACACTGCCGACCCGTCTGTTTGTACACACACACACACACACGCACACACACACCTTCATATGAGCAGAGTCCTTGTCGGCGCAGCCGGCGTTGGAGACGACGTAGAGGTAGCCCTGGTCCGTCCTGGTCACAATGAGATCATCGATAATCCCTCCTTTCTCAGTGGTGAAGAGGGACAACGTGCCCTGGGGGGGTTCGAGAGAGAAAGCAGAGCTGCTGAGTATGTTATAATACAATAAATGAGTCTTAGAGCCGGTTATTTCTCTGACGTTGGCACTATTTCTTCAAGATGAACAAAATGCGGAAAATTATAACAACTGTGTGATTATTCAGACATTTTTCTGATAAACCTCTTTTTTCCTCTTTCCCCTGATTCTGCTGTCGGGACGTAGTTAACTAAAGTCTTCTCGTAACAGAAAACAACTTTGGGAGGTATTTTCTCCTGGATTTAGTCCACAACCAGTTGCAGCCGGTGCAGACCGGCCCGTTTGACCCATTATATGCGTTTCCTGACTCGTGGCATAGATGGAGTTGGGCCCCTACAAGAGACAAACTGTTGAGGAGTTCTTTTAAAACAACAGTCAATTTTGAAGAATGAATTCTTACCCGATATACTATTCCACAAAGGAGCTGCAATCACATGGCTCTGCAAATTGCCTTCACTTCAAAAGTGCTTTTACATTATTGTTCTGGTTTGCAACTTTATTGTTTTGTTTTTTTCTTACTGCTTTCGCTTTTCACGTTCGTTGTCTATGACACTACTTGCTCAGCAGCAAACAGAGCATGAGAGTTACAATCAGGTGTTCAAAACACTCCAGTTAATGCCAATAATGTATCTAGTGAATGCATACAAATCAAATTGTTAACAAACAAGTTTCCCACATACCAACATTACATTGTGATAAAGTGTTTATAGAATTGGACCAATGATCTGTTGTTGTAGTTCAACATGATAGAACCCTTCATCTCACTTGGTTGTCCTTGAGTTCTGCGATATCAGCAACTACGAGAGACTCCATGAACTTCACCCTGTCTCTGCCGTGGACTTTGGACTGGCAGGAAAAAAAGAAAAAAGGATCTAATTAAACACAGGAATGGGATCTTTTCTTTTGCCCGGCGGATCAAAACAAATCTGCAGTACGTTAGTACGATGACGTGTTCTCTATGAACGTCATATGCAAGTTTGTACATGTATGCATGCATGTATGTCTGTACACCGGGAGGGTACTGTGTGCGCGTTCATTTACACTAATCTCACCTGCAGCATGTGGCTGACATCAAAGATGGAGCAGCGCTCTCTGGTGTGCATGTGTGAGGCGATGTGGCTGTCTTTGTATTGGACCGGCATACTCCAGCCCGCAAACTCCACCATCTTGCCCCCGTGCTCCCTGTGGAAGTCAAACAGCGGAGTTTTCTTTGCGGGAACCTGTAGGAAAAAGGAAATGATATACGGTCAGCCAAGGAATAGAAACACGCGTTTTATTGTAATTTTAAGTAGAAAACATAATGCTTCTTAAGGGTGCTATAAAGGGGGATTTTGAAATATTAGTACAATGTTTTAATCATATTTTGTGTGTCTAAGAATACAGTTATTTGAATATTTACTTGTTGTGTGGTGTTTGTCAGCATAATAACAGTCAAACCAGTGTGACGTTTTGCCTCCCATTCCAAAGAGGACTGGTTGCTCGGCAGGTCGGTTCCATCCACACATTCCTGTTCTGTTCTTTCTTCCCGGACTTCTGACCAACAAACCCGCCACTGAGGGGGGGGGCTTATCAGCACAGCAGCAAAGTGCATTATGGGAAACAGTGCGTCACACACATCTGTCCCAAGTCCAAAGTTAGCTGTTATTTTGAATGAGCAAAGTAGAGGTGGATGTTCTGGTTGTAATGCGTGCAAACACACGACTCTACACACCTACAATTAATGAACTATAGATTACGGCTCCCCAGATGCTTCACCATTGTGGGACTAATAAAGAAATATCTTATCTTAGGGTTAGCAGAGGGACTTTTGTCTTGCTTCCCTTCTCCCTTTGTGCAACACTGAAAGATAAACCTCTGCTGGTTTAGAAAAAGGACGTAACATTTTCTGATCATTACAGTAGTAACCTGCTCAGAAGGTGCAGGATGCACAATCCTGAATACGTAAATGAATAATAAAATGAGTGATTTGGAGGAAAGGCCACACATTTAGTGAGCACAGGCAGTGGTTTTAATAGCAGTGCTGCTGTGAAGTGGGGCAGAAATATGAGGGGACGGAAGCAGTCTGCTGGGACAGATTCATGTTATGTCTGCATGAACACATGTCACACACTGATGTCCTTATTCTAATGCAGCAGCACTAAAGTAGCGAACATCGACACAAACATCCACCGCATCAGAACATCTAGGAATTTAAATGATGGCAAAAGACGATCTCTTAATCCAGTTGAACAAACTACTGAGAACAAGTACTGCATTTCTAATTGCAGAGCCACTTTTGTCGTACTTTTAGAGTACTTTTAGCGGTTTCGCCGGCACTCACATCTCCGCTGGACGCCTGCCTCTTCCCCGCGCATCCAGCGCCGAGCGCCCGCAGCAAACGTCGCCCGGAAGCCCGCAGGCCGAGCTCCGAGGCCCCGCCGCCGACCAGACACCGAGCCCACATCCCCCAAAAGGCTCACACGCGCGCGTCCGACAAGCAACACGCACGCTGTTTTTGCGGGTGTAAGTATTGCGGATCCACGTTTGGGAAACTCTTGATCGCGTTCTGCCAAAAACACGCGCAGCGGCAGCGAGTGGGGGGAACCGCAGAGGCTTGTGGGATATGTAGTCGGTGAGTGTGACGCGCAGGAGTTCAAAGTTTGATGATCCCGCCGCTTCTTATCATACAACGAAGATAATAATGATTTGGGTTTCAGGCATACTTTCCTATAATATAATGCATTTAATAAGGATTATCAATGTCGTATTATCATATATTGTATAGTACTTTTTTAGAAAGCTTGTTTTTGAAAGTAGATCCCATAATCGTGACACTGTTTATGGGTTAAGTGAAAGTACAGATATTAAATGTGAGAAAAAAAGTTTGTTTACTGCTAAATTTTATTAACATCCTATGGAAATCAAGACATTTCATCTTATCTCTTGTTATTTGAGGATCCCTGAAATGTTGTTTTTGGATAAAGATTCGGTGCTTCGTGCATCCAATGATATTTGTCCATAGAGTTGTTGTGCGTGTGTTTATCCATCTGCCTTCCCTCCAGATTATCGAGTCATCCTTTGGCCTGAGAAACTAATAATACCACCATGACTGCTGCTATTTCAGGCCTGGAGGGCCGGCAAGGTTGGAGGGGGGTAATGGGGGTGAGCAGACTCTCTCTCTTGCTCTCTTTACATGTCTCTAGCTCGCTCTACCTCTTTACCAGGGCAGCTAAATCAGAACATGGACACAACCAAACATACTTGGTAGGGGGGGCACTGGGGCGTCCTACAGTTGCTGGGACACACACACAAGCGCACACAGCGCACAGGAAAAACCTGGACGATCCCTTCTGGTTCCAAACACCAAGGAATTTAGTGGAATTTGAGGTGATTTGGATTTCCTCCGGCGCTGTGCGGCTTCTGGACAACCTGTGAGGAATATTCAATGTTCCTCGTTGCTGATCCTGTGGGGGCAGACACATGTTTTGGTGAACGGGTGTCTGAGTGGGAGGAGACCGGGTGAACCAAAGGAGCGACAGAGTGACCGGAATGAACAAGCAGACATAAAACCCGGCAGCTGGAGACGTGTGGAGACGGACGGACGGTAAGTGGGAACAGAGCTGATTTCTTGTCCCCAAATACTGATCTGATTTGTCAAAAGATGTCTGGATCACAGCAAGGCAGATCAGGCAGTCCATCATCCACTCATTTATTCAGTTGTTAGATACAGGGCCTGTTCTGCCCTTTGGTCTTTAATTCAATTTATTACTATAAATATAATATAAAATGATGATGACGGTTCATATGACCTGTTATGTTTGTTTTGACTTAAAATAGAAACAACATCTGCTTTGTTGCCCTCTCACATGATCGGCCCTCACATGCCAACGCACTCCTCTGTTCTTATTGTAACAGAATATCCTCTACTTCTTTCCCTCTTTTGTCTTTCACTTTCAGAAGCAATCCATCCTATTCTCACCTCTAGCAATTACCAAAAATTAAATTATGAGATGTAGTTGACATGAAAGTAGAACAAAGAACTCCATTTTTTTAATGTGAGATCAGTAAATGGAGACAAAAAGCATCTGCAGTAGCCTCTGCCGTGTCTCCTATGAAGTAAGCAACAAGTATTCAGACACAATGGCAGCAAATTAAAAATAGCGGCGAGATAAAAATGTTATTTTGAATTGCTAACATTCCAATAACAAACTACCCAGCAAGTCAAAAGCCAGTTGCGTTATTAAGAGCTCAGTTCCCTCATACAACATCTTAGTGGTTGTTTTGATTTCTTTTTTACGGTGTTGCTTGGTAGCTGATGAAGTGGAAAGCTGCACGACACACTTTAGGAAGATGAAATAGCCTCCAGATATATTCCCTGGAAAGACGTTGTTGACTATAAGTGCCATCTAGAACCATCCGTCGGTTCCTCAAGAGCAGGCGAGATGTCGAGGCCTCCGTCCTCCCAGACCACCCCTCAGTTCTACAGGGTCAGCGACAGAGACCTGACCGAGATCGAGCTACATTCTGTGGATTCGATCAACGACCTCCACCGAGTTCACCCCGAACTCAGCCACAAAGGTACACACACAACCACAAGGCAGCTGGAGATACCCTCTCCCTCTGAACATTGACATGAGGGTACACCAACACACATACCCCCCAAAAAACATCTAGGATTCCACTCTATGCTGACTTTTAAATTGAGGTTTTTGCGAGTGAATTTGAAGCATGTGTTCAGCCACAAAGATACATACACAACATCTGAATTTAACACTAAAGGTACACGCGCACGCCATGAACGCAGCAATCTGCACTCATCCTGAAAGGCAAACTCCACATATAGGACACAAAGGTACACACATGCCTCAAATGCTCAAATCCCCAAATTCTGTCTATGCTCTCAGGGATGAGGCCTCCTCGTCCTGCTTACTCTCCCAGCTCGAATGGCAATCTCTACACAAGCGACTTGACGGCTGTCAATCAAAGAGGCCGTCCGATCAGCTGCAAATGGCAGAGGGGTCTCCAGGATTTGCTCACAGCCAGCTCCTCTCACGCCTACGCCATGGGCTGCGCCATCGTCACTCTGCTCCTCATAACTGTATTACTCATCTTCTACTTTTTGGGTGAGATACCGCATTCGTTCGTTGTCTCTTGTTTTCTCCTGATGTATCCCGGAATTTTTGTGTCTTCTTTGAAGTTTGCTTCCCTGAACATCTTCGTCTCAGTCGTGTCATTTGCCTCCAGTCCAGCAGGGCGGCGCCGTCCGGACGCTGACTGAGGCAGTGAAGGAGAAGCAGGCTGCGGCCACCCAGCTGTCACTGCTGATCCAGGAGCTGCAGGCGCTGAGACACAACCTGACAGCCATGAGAGGGGGGACATGACGTCATACGTCCAGAAATGTGGACAACGGATTTGTCCTAAATGTTATCTATGTTTCAAACTCATGGCTGATGAAACCGTGGACGGTTTCTGAAAAACATTTCCACTCTCTCCTTCAATGGTAACTGTATGGAAATGAGAATATCAAATCATACACATTTATAATGTTTAGCAAACGGATGATTCACCATTGATGGTCATAGTTGTTTAAGTCTCAAGTGTTGCCGTTGTCTTAAGCAAGGATGTGACACACTCTAAAAATGTGATGGACCGCCTGGAAAGCCAGGATTGTTTTTGATTGCTATGTACTTAAAAATTCACTTTTATTCACAATTATGTGTAATGATGTCATAATTATTACAACTTTTTGGGGGGTTTTGCTTATAAGAGAGGCAGATTGGGTCTAAGCTAATTTCATCAACATTTCATGTCCTCAGGCCAAGTCATTACATCTTGTTGTATTTCCTGCTGCAAAGTGCACTCCAGAGAGAAATGAAAACAACATAAATGTTTTGCTGACAAATAATGTAAGAAACAAATAAATAGTTAAACTCAAATATTTGCACATGAGGGAAAACGTTCAAATGTAATAATTACACATTTTGTATTATGTATTTTTGGGTGGAATTTGACCTTTTTTAATATTATGCAAATTCAACTAAATTCACAAATCTTACATTTTTCAACCACGACTTCGCGATGGTGACCGCACATTGGCAGAAAAGTTCAGGTTATGTCATCTTTTGACTGTCTCCGTGCTCCTCTTCCTCTTGACATTGGTGTCCGGGAAGCACTGACACACAAAGTGTTTGGTAACACGTGCCTTCGACGGAGTCAGTGGCCGCGGTGGGACACGAGGTGACCATGTGACCCGAGCTGGGGTTTCGTCTGGCGCAGCGGCCGTTGCCGTGGCAAAGTTGGAGGCTGCAGCTCTTCGTGTCGGACCTCAGTGATTTAACGAAGGGGCCCAGGACAGTGTGTATGTAGTCCCTGAGAAGGCCGCACTGATGCTGTGTGGATGGAGAAGTGAAGAGGGTTGCACACCCAAACACACACACACACACACACACACACACACACACACACACACACATCAGTATTCTACAAACAGCACTGACCTTGGATTTGGAAAACTTCAGCTCGCCACACAGAACCACGCCAGCCGCTCCAAGCGCCGCGCTCTCCCCCAATGTGTGCACCAGGTCGGTCTGCACGCACACAAACACACACTTACAATTGGTGTGTGTGTGGGTGTGCACGATTTTATGAGCTGCAACAAATCCTACCGTATTGAGAAAAGTGAGAGAGTGTGTGAACGCCAGCCTGGCATAGGGAAGCACTGGTGTGGCGTGTGCGGTGTTGTTGCTGTGGTGCCAAACCGACGCCACCCTCAAAGCCTCCAACAGTGTGTGTCTGCGTGAGAATGAAGGAAGAATGTCCGTCGGTAACTCCTTTAACTCGTTGATAGTCATTTTCTTGGACATTTAGGCCGTTACAGTCAAACATTTCTTCTTGCTTTTCTGTTTTTTTGTACCTGACCATCAGCGCTGCATCCGTGGATCCTGCCAGGCTTTGCGGCAGGTAGATACTGGGATAGAGAGCAGTGGACTGACTCCAGAGCCAGGACAGACGGTCATTTTCATCTTTGGACCCCCTCTGACAGCGTCCCGTGTAGCTTTTATCTGACCACACATTTGAGACAATGTATTTTATATATTATTTTTGAGGTTTGCCAAAGTATCAATACAAATGGTAAAACATGTAATACCGTTTGGTCAAAACTTAAAAAGACATACATAGATACAAGACAGGTCAAGCAAACAAACTGATTGACACACACTCAGTGTTTGTCCTACCTGTCTTTCTCTTCTGCTTATTAAAGCAACCCGGAAAATCGTAAAAGCCCCAGAGTCCCTTGGGATGAACTCTGACCGCCGACTGCAGTGTCTCCCCCATGAACCTTCGAGCACTCTCCTCAAACTTCAGCTTTGCCAACATGGCGGTTGCGCTCTCTGACAAATCGGGTCTCTCCTGTCTCACCAGCAGCTTGGACTGCCTCCGGTACTCCATCTTGGTTCCAAAGTTTCTCTCCCACAATGGCCGCCATTCCTCCCAGTCGATAACGGCTACGCCGGTGAAGTTTGGCTGCAGCAGACTGGACAGCTGCGTTGTTGCAAGAGAAAGGTGAGCAGAGAGGTCGGCGAGCTGCGGTATCCCTCCGTTAACCATGCTGCCCCGTGAGAGGTATGGATATTTCCCCAGGCGATCCCGGTAAAAGATGGTCATTTTCTGGAAGATTTTCAGGGGACAGATGCTCATTTATAGGTTTATATTCTAGAACATCGTTCTGTTTGAATTGACTTCTGCAAAGCCTGAGGTATTCAGATGGAGCCGATGTTTGCTACAAATACTATATGTCGGTACCCAAGTACCGCAGTCTCCACGATGTCAAAGTGTCCCAGGTCCAGATGGACGTTGAAGCGCTGGTGACACCGGGCCGTCGGCATGTTCCACACCACAACAAAGGGCCGGTCCTCCAGGACGGGACCCGCCGGGGGGGCGCAGGGGAGGACAATGCAGTGGGTGGAGGTCGGTGACAGAGAGGAGCCGGGGAGGGGAGAGTGGGGGAGGAGGAGGAGGAGGAGAGAGAGGTGAGACAGACTTATGGGCGCTCCCCCACTGAGGTGCCCTGTCCTCCCTGACAGGAGAGAAATGACCATTGAATCCTAAAGAACAGACTGTTGTCATGGGAAACCCAATACACACATTTACAAACATTGAAAGAGAAGATTATACGTTTGTTCGGCTTTAACATAATTCTAACATCCTGGAAGCATATATGCAATAACATAGAAAGGACAAATGAATGTGTTTTAAAAATATATTTATTCACTGAATTTCTTGATTGAAAAGCTTTATAAGATCATTTTTTCAATATAAAGCAGGTCTTCAGAACTTTAATAGACTTCTGTTTCGTGGCACAGAAAGCAAACTCATTCATAGAACATTTTAGTGTCACTGGATTTGGGACATATTGCCTCCAACAGCACAGCGGCTCAAACTGCAAAAGTCTGGTTGGATTGGATTTTCTGGATGAGCACAATTAAATTAAATTTACTGAACGAATGTATTCCATGTCCCGACCCCTTTCTTTCAAAACACTTCAATTAATTATTTTTTGACTAATTCATTCATTTTCATAGTGAAAATAGCCACTAACCCTGATGGCCAACACTTACTGCTTCATTGGGAAAACAGTAACCCAGGAAAGCAAACATTTAATTTTAGTTAATCAATTAAATTAATTAAAGAGTTTCATGTATTATTTCAAGGTGAGAACAAGGGTTAGTTGTATCCAAACTCTTTGGTTCAATAGAACGATTCTGTCGCCCCCCCCCTCTGTATTTCCTCCATGTCTCGTTTCCTGAGCGTCTGATGGAACATCAGAGAAGTGTCTGTCAAAAGTCTTTGTGCATCCAATAGATGGGGACTCCTTTGGCGTCTCTGTAGGGAGTTTCATCCAGAGTCTGAACGACAAGCTGCACCGCAGACGGAGGAGGAGGAGGAGGAGGGACGCAAGGAGGAGGTGGAGGGGAAGGAAGGAAGGAAGGAGGTGGTGGTGGAGGTGGAGGATGTAAGCTATGAGGTGGAGGTGACCCCGCAACACAAACACTTCCTTGTGGTGCCGGAACCTTCATCGTTGTCCGCGTTTGTGTCTTCGCCTCTTCTTCCTCTTCTCCCTCACTCTGCATCCCGGAGAACCTCAAAAGCATCTCCATGGGGACGAACGCCGCCATGGCGCCCGCGCTCTGCACCGGGGTGCACAGCGCGTACCCGAGGTGCGCGTAGAACCGCTGCTTGTCGTGAGTGGTCAGGCACATGCGCGCGAACCCTCTGCTTTTGGCGTATTGCTCCGCCTCCTCCATCAGAGTCCGGCCGTAGCCCCTCCCTCGCTCGGCGCCGGACACCACCACCGACTCCACGAACAGGCTGCCGGCATGACCCACGACCCGGGACAGCCGGGCGTGGCCGAGCAGCCGCTCCGTCTCCCCGAGGCCGCGCAGGAGCACCAGGCAGACGGGGAAGTCCGGACAGGACTTCCGGAGGGAGTGGACCCGGGCGGCCCGGCTGCGCCGCCACTCGGAGTTCACCAGGTCGGCGCAGGGAACCAGCAGGTCGGGACGCTGGTGTATCGGAACCGCACGGATCTCCTTCGCTTGTTCGGAGTCAGTGGGAAGCTTCCATTGGGCTTCCCCACCCAACGTCGGGATGTCACGGGCTCTCTCGGCGCGTTGCGCGGGACGTCCTCCTGCGGGGCGCGGGGCGAAGCCCAGCTCGCCATCAGCCTCCGGATGGGAAATCGTTGAGGTTGATGACCTGCGGCGATCAGGGTGCTAAAGTCAGTCTTCATTTAACTCCAACAAATATACATAACATTTGTTTTGGATATGTGGTTCTCCAAGGCCGTGGTCAGACTGATCCAGGACGGATCAAACATGGCCTCTAAGTGTCCACATAGATCTTTTTCTACTAACTATTCCATCCCAGTGCTCGGTTGAAACCTGAACCCACTCCAGCGCATTCCTGCCGGTGAACGACACTATAAGCACACTCAATGTGTCCGTAGTGCGTGTGACCGATAAACTAGACTTCCATTGACCCGTGGATCAGATGTGTGAGGGTCCCGGGATCCTGACAGGTCTTTAGCTCCGTTGGGCTATAAGGGGAGACGCATGCACGAGGGGAAACTAGAGCGTTGATCCCCCTTTAATCTCCGACTGGCTCCCCGGTTCCACCGCAGCCTTTAACCGTCACAGCTCATTTTTAAACAGAATTTTATTTTCTCCCACTGCTTGTTTTGACGGTGCAAATGTGAACATGACATCCCGCCTCAGCAGAATTGAGCGACGACTGATCACATCGATGATCTCTGATATGATGTGTAGATGTGTTTGTATAGCGCTTTAAAAATTGGTAAAAATGAAATCTGTATCCCTCACCTCTTTACAAACTGTGCAATTCAGCTGGGCCGTGTGAATGGGGAAGTATTCTGTTATCTCTACACATGTTACCACAGTTTCTTCAGAAAGCTGAAATGCAGTGAGGATATCCTCACATTTTACGGGTGACTGTTACATTTTTTGCAAATTATTTAGGCAAATCTGTGTCCTACTGACGCTTATATTCTTCATTTTATCACATCAACTCCAACTCCACTGCAACGGGAAACCCACAGAGGACTGATAGAAACAAAGAACATGCAAACAGGCAAGCGTCAGTAACTTCACATGTAACATGTAAACACGTGTACAGCGCTGAAAACCTCCTGAGCTACATCCACTCCGTACAGACGTCAATACAAAATAACGTTTTTAGTTATCAACACTATTTAGTACAGCTTTCTTTTTGTGGTTTTACCAGATACACAAAAAGTTCTGTCCCCTCCAACATGCCAACGCCACGCTCAACTTCTGAAGGATTTTGGAGGATTTTGGAGTGTGTGTGTTGCGGACTGACAGATAACGTCTTCTCCATCAATTTATCCGTTCGCTTCAATATGTTGGATTCATGTTAGTGTGTATTTAATGTGCAGTACCTCCGCGGACCACTTGGGGGTCGCGGACCCCCAGTTGAAGACATCTGCTTTATTCTAATTAAATAACATATATTGTTAAGCTTTAACAATCTATGAATACACGCTTACCACTGTGTATATATCCCAATTAAAATTTGATCCAATAAATATTAAATCTTGAGCCACAACAAACAAGTTTAAAAAAGAGGCGTGGCCGTGTACTTTTGAAACCTAACAGAGGAAGGTATGACGGTGGAAGGCTTCCAGCACTCTGCGACACCATCGTCAGTACACTCTAGTTTCTCTTCAGATCGCATAAATCTTTCGCCTTTTACTAAAGATTTCCGTGGAGAGGAACACTATGAGTTTTAACTAATTTTTTGATGCCCTGCTTCACTGCGGGGCTTCCTGAACTGTGAATTATAAACTGATCACATCCAACACGCCATCATTACATTCTTGAGCGACGTGTAAGCTAAACGTCACTGTGATATATGATATACGACGTGTATAAATGGCACTGTTACAAATCATTAAATTGCTTCCTGAGCTGTCAAAATATGAATTAACTACAGTGCGACAATTGTTGTCACCGGTCATACGCTTTGAAACTCAACATGAATGTTGCCGTATATTACGTTACGTTATAGCACACATACTGGACAGGAATGCAGGGTAAAGGAAAAGCAAACATTATATACGTAACCTAGTTATTACCTATCACAGATACACAAAAAGTTCTGTCCCCTCCAACATGCCAACGCCACACTCAACTTCTGAAGGATTTTGGATGATTATGCTTTAAACCAGAGGTCTTCAACGTTTTTCAAGCCAAGATCCCCCAAACGGCGAGGTGGAGCAGGGACCCCCTATTCCACGGAGTTTGGTCCGCCATCTTTTATTTTTGAGCGTCACGCTCTTTAGTGAGAGCATAAAGGCGATCTGATTGGCTGGTGCCTGCGCTGTCGTATTCGCATGAAAGGAGCTGTGAGGGAACCGGTGCCCAGCTTTAGAGCTGCTGAGGGAAGCTGAGCGTGTGTGTTGCGCACTGACAGATAACGTCTTCTACATCAATTTATCCGTTCGCTTCAATATGTTGGATTCATGTTAATGTGTATTTAAAGACCATAAATACAATTCTGATTCTGATTCTGAAGAAATTTACATTTGTGGGGGAAAAATTTGTTTTAAAAAATGGTCTTTTATCAACCAAAAATGTCGCGACCCCCCTGCAGTACCTTCGCAAACCCCTTGGGGTCGCGGACCCCCTGTTGAAGACCTCTGCTTTATTCTAATTAAATAACATATATTGCTAAGATTTAACAATCTATGAATACAAATTCACGCTTACCACTGTGTGTTCAATTAAAATGTGATCCAATAAATATTAAATCTTGAGCCACAGCAAACTAATTTAAAAAGTAGAGGCGTGGCCGACGGCCGGCATGCTCCCACAATGCAAAGCGTTTTCCTTGCGGTTGCCGTATAAACTAAACTAGGTATTCTATTCCGCTCACAACTAAATAATGACACGTTCTACTGCATTCCGGTGCCATTTTATGTCATTTACATTTTAATTTGTATTTATTTTACTTTTGAAACCTAACAGAGGAAGGTATGACGGTGGAAGGCTTCCAGCACTCTGCGGCGTCATCGTCAGTACACTCTAGTTTCTCTTCAGATCGCATAAATCTTTCGCCTTTTACTAAAGATTTCCGTGGAGAGGAACACTATGAGTTTTAACTAATTTTTTGATGCCCTGCTTCACTGCGGGGCTTCCTGAACTGTCAAATAAAAACTGACCACAGTCAAACACGCTATCATATCAACACACATGCCATTTAACAGTTTGAGAGACGTGTAAGTTCTTTTACAAATCATTATCTTCCTTGATATATACAGTATGCTTCCTGATCTGTTACAATATAAATAAACTAGAGTGCAACAATTGTTATCACCGGTCATACGCTTTGAGTTGATATGAATATGTAGCACACTTACTGGACAGAAGTGCAGGGTAAAGGAACCTACCACACCACTACATCCGATAACGTCAGAGTTTCATTTGGCATTGATTGTTATACCATATATACAATATGATGAGTGCTATTTACTAAATTACTAAAGCTGTGGTTGCGAGGTTAAATTGATTTGTTGATGACCTGCCTCAGCGCGCGCCTTCCAAAAATGATCAAACGTGAAAAAAGCTCAGTAATAGATTTAAAAGGACCTAAATCGAGTACGTAAATGTTGTTTGAAGCCATGATGTTAAATATGTTTACCTCCTAATTGAAGAGTTGTCAAAGTCGTATATTAACATACACACACATCCCAAATTCAAACGTCACCCGGTTCAGATGTTATCTAAGAAATGTTTTATCTTGAGCCACGGAAAGCAAGTTTAAAGAGTACCAGACCGCCGCCATGTTCCCACAATGCATAGCGCGTCCCTTGGAGTTGTCGTACAAACCAAACTGCCTCTTATATTTCATTCACAACTAAGTAATGCGCTTACTAAACAATAATATCACGTGTTACGGCAGTCCTGTCCCATTTTGTGTCACTTTTATTTATGTATTTTACATAGAAAACCTAACAGAGGAAGGTATGACGGTGGAAGGCTTGCAGCACTCTGCGACATCATCGTCAGTACACTCTAGTTTCTCTTCAGATCGCATAAATCTTTCGCCTTTTACTAAAGATTTCCGTGGAGAGGAACACTATGAGTTTTAACTAATTTTTTGATGCCCTGCTTCACTGCGGGGCTTCCTGAACTGTCTAAAAAAAATTCCCCAATATCTCTTATGTGTGTGCTGTAGCACACTACAAGAAATCAACTATTTTTCTTCGCAACGCGGTATTTCCTGAATTTGTCAATATACAAAATTGTATTAGTAAATTTTTCGTACAACTAAAATGAAAACGTTATTAAGTAACTATGCTGCAAGATAACAACATACATATATATACATATATATATATATATATATATATATATATAGTGTTTATACTAAAAGTGTAAGTAAAATGTTTTTATCAATGCAACAAAGGCATAAACACGTCGCGCGAGCAAACGCATGGTATCTATGGTGATTCTGAAAGTTTTATTTAATTATATTCGACAGTTCAGGAAGCCCCGCAGTGAAGCAGGGCATCAAAAAATTAGTTAAAACTCATAGTGTTCCTCTCCACGGAAATCTTTAGTAAAAGGCGAAAGATTTATGCGATCTGAAGAGAAACTAGAGTGTACTGACGGTGATGTCGCAGAGTGCTGGAAGCCTTCCACCGTCATACCTTCCTCTGTTAGGTTTTCTACGTAAAATACATAAATAAAAGTGACACAAAATGGGACATGACTGCCGTAACACGTGATATTATTGTCTAGTAAGCGCATTACTTAGTTGTGAGTGAAATATAAGAGGTAGTTTGGTTTATACGACAACTGCAAGGGACGCGCAATGCATTGTGGGAGCATGGCGGCGGTCAGAAACGCCGTTACTCTTTAAACTTGCTTTCCGTGGCTCAAGATAAAAAAATTCTTAGATAACATTTGAATCGGGTGACGTTTGAATTTATTTGTGATGTGAAGCGTTAAGTTACACTTAACAAACCAAATGTGAGCTAAACAGAACATGAAAACTCCAAAGATTAAATGTGTCAAGAGAGTCACCTTCTTTTACGCCCAAGCAAAACAGTGTTTGTTTCAGAACATAATACGTTTTGTTCACCACAAACATTTGCTTTCGTTTCGGCGCAGTGACCACATTTTCTATTTTATGTGCCACATCTCACTGTATTTAATACCCAGCATTACTCAAGCAGTTTGCAACGTTTCCAAAACACGCAAATCTAACGTTGTATCAACGGTAACACGCCCACAGCAAGGTAAAAATACACGGTGTTGTAAAAGCGAACTAAAAGAAAGCCGTCGAAGATGTTTGTGTTGACACATACAGACCAATTCTCGGAGTTGATATAACGTTATGTACTTGTGGCTTGACCTGAACTACTGACGTTTTATTTTGGACTAATAAGTCCACCTCGTTTACGTCCACTGCCTTGTAGGGAAAGACTACACGTATGGATGTCAGCGCTGCATGCTAGCTAACTCATTAGCTTAATTTTAGCTTTCCGTGCAGCGCAGTGTGATTTGTTAAGAAATTAGGAGGAACCGCAAGTTCACTTGCTCATCAGCGAACAACACTGTTCATCCGAGTTTGTTTCTCACCACAGTGCAACGTTACCTACATCTTTATTCTCGCGGCTCCTCCTCGGTGCTCGTCCTCCTCGGAGTGCTCGTGTTTGACTGACAGCTGGTCTGTGGTCAGCTGTAACTATTGCGACGCCGTACAACAGCGGATAGCGGCCAGCTAAGTCTGCTCTAGGATCAGTTTCTCACCGTGAGTGCGTGCCGAACGCTAGCAGGAGACGTTGAGGGTCCTGTTACTGGTCTGAAAGCTCATGTCCGCCACCGTGCGGGTCGGAGTGGTATTACAAAGGATAAAACTGACAACCGATCACTCAATAATCAACTGTAGCTGGTCTAGAGCGCAGGTCTACAGTACTAACTGCGTGAAGTAAAAAAAAAAAAAAAGTGGACATGCAAACAAAATGAGAGTATTAACGGAGCACGGTGGCGGTCTTAAATAGAAGCTCACCAGCGCTGTCACACACTTGACAGGATATTTGCCTCATGGCATCAGAAACGTGTTGCTCGTTGCTTTCATGGCATTAACTCAACCAATAATTGGTTTTATCGATCCTTTGCACAAGTGTACATGGCGATCATCAAAATAACAATTACTATGTTTTTCAGTTAAAGACAACATTCAACAAAGAAGGCAAGACTTAACAAAATGTTTGCTTTATTTTTTTCATTTTTTTCTAATCCAGGACAACTCATTCAAGGATAATCAAGGAGAAATAAGCACTAATGTATTTTATTAGAATGTTTTTTTCTGTTTTTACATTTTGTCAGAGATGGATGATGAATTTAACATAACTGGTCAAAGTAAAACAAAAAAAGAATAAATGAATATATAATAACAATACATTAATAATTAATTCAATACAATGAAGTGTGGCATCAATGCTAGAATAACAATGGCCCAGAAAACGTAGGGTTTTTATTGTTTTCACTGCTTCTTCTGTGGTACTGCAATAATCACCAGCACTAACTCAACTCAATCAACAACAGTAGAGGAAGAAAAGGAGCGCGCTCACAAAGTACTGCACCCGGCCTCCCAAAGAGGAAACACTTTTTATTTAAATAATATTTTATCAAAGCTTCCGTTTCTTTTATCTTAATAAAACATTTCTAAAACTTATTTGTCTTCTTTAAACTTTTCTCTCTTTTTTTGCATTTTGATTAATTTTCCTTTTCAGAGATTTAAAAGTTTTTTTGTCTCCATTTTACCACAATATGTCCGTCTTTGCAAGTGTGGTTGCCTATATGTTTTTGAGTATATGTATCTGTGTGTGTTGATGTATCCTTTGCTGAGGCTTTTTGAAAGAACTTTGTTCAAGTTGTGTGTAAGTTCATGTCAATGCAGATATGAAGCATGTGTGTGTATTTTATTTCCTTACACAGCGATACCTTTATCAAGGTCAATGCAGCAAAGACATTCATACCGGTTGAAGCTGGGTCAAGCAATGAGGTGTGTGGTCTTTAGTTTGCTGTGTGTGTGTGTGTGAGGGAGCCTATTAATGAGTGTTGAACTAGAATGTGCATGATGATGAGCAAACTAAGTGGTGGGCGTCTCTCAGTGAACACATAGGTGTCAATGCATGTGTGTGTGTATATGTGCGTGTGTATACATACTGTGTAGGATTGTGTGTACTTGCCAGTGAGCCTAGAACAATTCCTCATTTGTCTGTACACTCCATGTAAAGCTTATTATGAGTCTGTATAGCCATTGCATGATATGAGAGAGGACATATGTTGGTGTGTGTGTGTGTGTGTGTGTGTGTGTGTGTAGGAGAGAGAGATAGAAGGCACGAGGGTGGCGTGGGAGGCTCAGTCCCTCAGGTCCATGCTGGAGCCGAACAGGGCCACCAGCTGCTCCTCATAGTGGGCGATGTTCCTCTTCATGATCTCCTTACAGGAACCCAGGAGGCGCTCAAACGCCTGAATGTCTATTACTGCACACACGGAGAAAGAGAAACAAAAGATGTGACGTGCGTCCGCGTGGAGTCTTCTCGGTTAGTAAACAGCCTGGTCCTTACAGAGCATCCGCTCGACGGCAAGCAAATAAAAATAAACCCTTTTTGAGGGGAAGTCGTCAAACATGAACTAAATCATGTGGTGGACGTTTGGGCTTTGACGCTTGTCAGAAACGGGTGGGAAGAGATTCCTGCTTACAGGACCTCAGAGAGCCCTTCAAGTGCCGCTGACCTTCTGCAGCGGAAGAGGGAGAAGGATCGGAGGACGACCGACAGCAGAGGTGGCTGCACTACAGTTGAGGGATTTTTCTGAGCAGCTGTTCGTTGTACTGTTATTACAGTCAACAAAGTACGAGACGGACCGGGCGGACAAGAGCGTGGGGAGAAAAATAGGGGGGAGATGAAGGACACAAGCACAAAAAAAAAAAAAAAAAACCCCTATCCGTGAATGTAAAAGAAAAGTGGCTTAATTAGCATAAAGCACATTTCACAAAGGAGGGAATGGAGCCGACAGAAGCGCAGCTGAACAGCCTTTAAAGCATCACGTGTTCCTTTTTCAAAGGGCACGTGCTGCTCTTCGTCTTTAAAAAGGGCAGACAACCACTGAACAGCCTTTAATCTACAAGATCTACAAGGTGACAACCGATGGGATGAAGAGCAAACAACACACGGGAATTCACCAAACCTAAAGTGCCACTTGATATCTCACGACTAAGTGCTTGTAACTGCAATTACTAGGAAATAAATATCAGACATTGTTGGAAGTTTGAGTGGTTTGAATAAGGCTTAATAACTGAAAACGTAATTTGATTATGATCACGTAAAGTGTTCTTCAGATGCAGGCATCTCCTCCACCCATGTTGATAAAAATCTATTAGGGAAACAAAGCCACTTTAAACACCCATCTGACTTGCTTGTGATTGCCCCAGTGAGCGCCGTTGGCGAGGACGCTGAATAATGTGTTCACAACGAGTGTGTACTTGGGTCTTACCCACACACTTGACATCGCCCACTGCGTAGGCCGAGGCGGCCCGGGGCTTGTTGGTGACCAAGGCCAGCTCCCCAAAGTAATGGCCCCTGCTACAGCGCGTTATCTCCACCTCCGCATTGTCTGCATGGTCTGCCTTCGTCTGCAGGGGAGAGGATTAAAAGGTTAAGAACCACTGGTCTCTGTTTTTCTCCTTCTGCTCCCCCAAAGCGAGACGCACTGAGGAGGCCATTCTCATTCCAGCTTTTGCCTGGCAAAAGCTGGAAACACTCCTGTACTGAAGGGGAGAGAGGGGGGCAAAATGCTCTGCACGGAAACCTATGGGGAGAGTAATAGAATCAGATTTTATATTTGTGCTTAGTTCTGTACCAATAAAACACATTTTTAGAAAGAATACCAGCCTACAGGTTGGCTGAATCTTTTCTTTGATCCTTTTTACCAATGAATATCTTCTAAAGAGACGTAAATGTGTACTGAAGTAGAGGGATATTTGGCCATCAGGTCTCTGAGGGATAGATGGTGAAATAAATTCACTCTTGCGGAAAGAATGACGTTTCAATTGCATGGAAGACAAGAAGGAATGAAGAGGGGTTCTTACTTTACTCTTCATCATGATCTTGACCTCGCCCGATTCTACTATATAGAAGCATTCAGCCTTGTCTCCCTGAGAATTAAGAAAAAAAGACAAATAAATACATTTAAACGGTAGTAGTGTACTGTATTTGTATGTTGAGATCCTTAACATTTCACTGCTGTAGGGAAATCAGTTTTTTTCCAGGTCATACCTGTGTGATGATGCGCTCACCATCAGGGAACTGCTTTGATCCTAAAACGTCCACAATCTTCATCCTCTCGTTTGCCTGCATCCAAAGAACGGAGGGTAAGACAGGAAGGTAGAGGGGAGAAAAATACCACGCGTCGAGCTTCAAGGTTGATGCGGTTGCATCCACTGTGTAGTGGGAAACGCGTTGAGCCAGTGAGAGGAGCCCACAAGCCCTGAACTCACCTCCAGTGATTTGAGTAAGGGCACGGACTCGATGAAAGCCTCGTACACCCTCCTCTTCTTTGCATTGTTCTTCACAATGAGTCTACGAAACGTGGCGCGGTCCTGGAGAGAACAAAACACAGGTTCAAAAAACACCTCCCAAAAGGCGGATGGATTCTCTCCGACCGCCCGGCTGCTCCTGCTGTGCTCGGCCACAAGGGGGGGCCGCCGCCGCAGCAGCGACCCTGGGAGCGGCGCCTGGCTCCATTCACAGATAACAGGACTCCATTCTTAACATGTCGGCGCTTCACGGCTCAATGAGCTGTGGTTGGTAACTGTACCCGAGCTGCCCGCGGTGCGATCTTAAAGAGGCAACTCGAGGAAAGAATCATTCAAGGAGCTTTTTCAATTCACTAAAAAGGAGACGATTGCTTTTGAAAGTTACTGAAAAATTTAAAAAAAATTTACTGCTGGTTAGCAAATGTGATTATTCATGATTTCCAAGCAATGCCAAAAACCAAAATAAATCCACAAGACCAAAATAGATCCACGTAATGTGACAGTTTCTTACAGTATTTTGCGGTAAGTGTACGTTTGCTTACCAGTCCCCACAGCGCGCCCTCCTCGGTAGCGGCGATGGTGGCGGCGCGTGGCGTGTTGTACATAAGGGCCAGCTCCCCGAAGCTGCCCTTATTGTTATACTGACCCACCGTTGTTCCCATTACCATTATGTCATACACCCCTCTGGAGACAGAGAGAGAACAGGGGTAGAGAGAGGAAACAGACAAACACAGAAACTGCAAACGGGGAATTATGAGGAAAAAAAAAAAAAAAAGGACAAATCCAAAAGGGAACGGACGATAAATTATACTTGAAAGACTTTGATTCATGCAATTCAGCCAAAAGAGGTAATCTGTGTTTTGTTTATTGACCGGTTTAAACAGGCATCTAATTAAAGCGTGTCCGCTGCCTCTGGGCACGACCCCGCGTTCGTTCGGCTGACACGGCGAGCAGATTGTTGACTGCGGTTTTGTTGGTGTAATTGTGTGCACATTTCTAAAAACACAGGATGCTTTTCATACGTTTGCACATTGTGACGACACGCGTGGCTGAGAGCCGCTGAGCGTTTATGTGAACGCTGGTGTGTGTCTACAGTTAAAGCACCACAAACCACTCCAGCTGAGCGTCTCTCTGCGGCTCTCCGTGTATGAGGAGTAAACCCGGGGAAGGTAGTTTGCCGGGTTGTTGCTCGGCGGGATTTAACCCTTTTATCCTCCATTTGCTGCGTAGAGGGGCTAAACCTCACGTCGCAGGTGTATTAGTATTTACTTAGTTGGACTGAATTACCGAGACGATGGGGACATTGACCATTTGAGGCACCGTTTAAAGTTTTGTGAAAAGAGACAAAGTGGGTTTGACAGCTGTAAACATTCATAAACTCTGCACAATGAATCAGAGTGAATGATTTCCAGTTATCTTTTGTCTTCGAGGCCTCAGGACAGTGGAGGTTTGTGAAGGGTTCTACTTACAATAAAGCACGGGACAGCTAGCTGACTGCAGGCTACAGATGTACTTAGTCTCCCTTTCAGCCTCATTAAATAGTCAAGCTGTATCATTTCTGAGTCGGCCGAAGGCAGACAGCTCAGTCTGCTTCGGCAGATCGCTACGCGTACGACACGTTCAAACAATGAGTTACTCTGTGCCGTTTTCTTTCCTGCGTTTCTTTTTCGTCTGTTTTTCCCTCCACCTCTGTGTGTGTCCATGCTCACACCCCACCCTGCTGGTGACATTAGCCACCACCTACGCTTTTTACAAGCCTGGGAATAGTCCCTGGATAGTATACGACCAGGCAGGCGTGCTGCTCTTAAAGGTCATCGGACATCTCATGTACAGGCAGCCAGCTGTTAGACAGAGTGTATGCAGATTGAATGATAGCGCACAACGAGTGGAGCTAAACCGCTCAGCCGATACGTGCCACGCCAAGAATGAATAGGGGCTGGTGGAGGATAAACAATGACCAGCCAACAGACATATAAACGGCTATCTGGAGGTCCTTTTCCAAGAGAAAAAAAAAAAAAGAGTGAAGCTTATCAAAAGTTGGCTTTGATATCTAAATATAATAAATAAAACATTCAAACATACAATGTTTTAGACATTTGTATAACTAAGCATATTATGATGACTCATTTTAATCTTCCTTTAACTAAACATGGTATTGCAGCCCGGGCTACCAAACCATGTCATGTCAAGCCTGAGTACACAGCGACAGTTTACATTAGCAGGGAAACGACACACAGCCTCCATAAGTACGGAGCCACGGGCGCACCATCCTGGTCACAAGCCCAACTCTAAGGAACGGCGTAACGGACTCACCGTCGTAAATCTCAGAGTGGTCCACTCTGTCATTTATCGCATACAAGTGGAATATATAAAAATATAAGTTTTAGAAACATTTAACCGTTTAAGTCAGATTCAACTACATGGTATTTTTTGAGGCGGCAATTGATGGTTGATGGCTTCATGTGTCTGTTACTTTGACCCCTCTAAGTTTTACCGGGCCTAAGTAATAAAAGCAATTCTACTTTCTCTCCTTGTTCGGTTTAATAAAATCAAATACACAAAATGTGCACAGGCAGCACTGCCAGTCCATTTTCTCTGTGATCCAAGGTTGCAAAAACAAATGGGCAGCGCTTGATTGATCCAATTGGTCGAGCTTCGATGACCCCACACTAGTGTCGGCCTCCTACCGCTCAATGACGTAGAAGTTGTCTCCGTCGTCGCCCTGGTCGATGACGTGCTCAAGGGGCTGAACCCGTAACTCAAACATGGCGTCCAGCACCTCCGAGAACTGCTCCTGTATGCGGGCAGAGAGGAAGGACGTCAACAACGTCGTTCAACAAGAAGCACTGAGTGGCATCTGGCTGGTGTGAGCTGCCCCTCAGCGAGATGAAAGTTAGTCGTCCCAGGAAGGAAAGTACACAAGAGAGAGCAGACCCTTTTAATATCTCACACACACACACACGTTTTACCGGGATATGCAATGTCAGCAGAATATTGTGGTCACTGGGGTTTAAGCGCATCGTGATGATATGAATTTATCATAGTAGAGGTCAAGTGATGTATGTTTCACAATGGAAACAGAAATGTTTGCTTTAAATATCTAAGTCATTTAAGCCAGCAAGACAAAACTGTCCAAATATAGTCGGGTTCAAGCCCAGTGGTTTTGTTCCACCAACAGAAAAAACAAGAACATTTTAAGAACATAACGGGGGCTTCTTTGTCCCCCTTTTCCTACTGTTCCCTTAGTGGACTGTATTTAAATCTTTTCATAATTGTTTTTGTATAAGTTGATCATTTCACCTGACCCAAGACAGCACGCACACACGCGCATGAAGATGCCAGAAGATTCAGAAGCCGGAAATAAACGAGTGGGGAAACTTAATAAATGCAGACGCTGTGATCCATGCGTTGGTGTGCATGTGTGCACATCCTACCTGATCTAGTGTTTTAAACAGAAGGATGTCTCGGCAGGCCTCTTGCAGTCTGCAGCGCTGTTCATCTGTTTTCGGGTGAACCACCCTGGGCTCCGTGTCCTCATCGTCGTCGTCTGGGTTGAATGCCTCCGCACACACTAGAGTGGAGGACCAGTAAACACGCTTCACACACACTGCAACAACATGTTCTGTTCACCCCGGTGGTGTTTGGAGCCGTGTGGCCTCTGGTGTCGTGGCGTGTTAACTCATTTGGTTCTGCTGGATCAGGCAGGTGTAAATATAATAAATAGAGCCGTTAAAAAAGTGAGCCCCCGTGCTCCGCCAACCAGAACGGCACGCAGTTCAAGAAGCGTGAGAAGAACATTATCTGGGAACGTGGACTAGATACGACCCCGAAAGTGCAAGGACGCAGACGTTGGCACAAACAATCAGCATTGTGTGTTCTTCATGTATTTCATTAAGAACAATTAAGATAAGGCCCAGAGTGGCGGCAGGTCCATCGGGCTTAAGATGCAGGAATCCGACGTGTTTCGGTTCCCCTGGCCGTGGGACAAGACACCAAAACAACTGCCAATATGTAAACATTTGGTGCTTTGTTTACAAGTTCACGCGCAACAGGACGACGTGATCAAATCAAATACAAATATTCAATCAAGTCATCATTCCCACTTGGCGTTCAGGCCAAAGGAAATAAACTGCAGCTGTGATTGTGGCCTCGTGTTTCTTATTTGAGAAAACACGGACTGCTGACAACAATGCCGTCCTTCCTGTATGCAGAGTGCCGAGGACTGTAAAACACATTACAGACACACTTTCTTAAGCTACATTGAAATTTAGCTCAATAGAATTTCTTTTGTAACAAGTAAACAAAACAGCACTTTGGAAGACCTAAACATGCTGGTTGGGTAGAGTTTATTCTGCCTTTGATATGATGGAGAACGCTGCAGTGTTCTGTAGTTTCACTCTACTGTGCCTTTAGATAAACAGCTACTTTGACGAGCAAAACCCCAAAAGGACCTTTCTATTTAACATATCTTCAAAAAATGATCCGCATTATTCCCAGTCTTTGTTGTTATATTAGCACATTTTCTTCCTTGGGCTCAAATAGGATCATCGCCTTCTAGTGGTGCCACACAAGATTCCTGCCAACAAAGACGCAAGGAAGGAATTTGTAAAAATCTGGACCTCTATTCAACTGGATGTTACGCTTATGAAACTACAACAAAGTTGACAACTTGAACGTATTAACCCCACGACTTCCAGAGCACATCTTTATGACAGAGCGGCATCAAGGGCAGGGTGAACAGTGACAGGAGGACAGAAGATAAACCTCAGCGGACACACCCGCAGCCTAATCAAAGTGCAGTGCTCTGTGACGACTGACGACATTCAATTATGTGTAAACACTGGACGGCTGGGACGCAGCGTGGGAAAACAAAAGCCCCGTACGCACAGGGACATGGACGCCAAGAGAAAAGGAGAGGACGGAGTGGCGCAAATCACCGTGTTCCAAGTCTAAGACGTACGCGGACACGCTCATTATCAAAACACAACGCCGGAGACACTCAAATGAGTACGTCTAGCACCGGGCCTCAACATGCATGACACGCACAGTAACGCAGACACTGAGCCTCTTTGGCAGTGATGTATGCAGTGTTGTCCCTGGTGTGGATTACAGCCAGGGGACGTGACGTCAAATGTGTGCACGTGTGCACGTGCACGTACACACACACACACACACACACACACACACACACACACACACACACACACACACACACACACACACACACACACACACACATTCCTTACCTGACACTCTCCTGCTGAATCTGCTGGGTGGTGGAGCTACGGAGAGAGAGAGAGAGAGAGAAGGAAATTAACATCATCCCCGTCCCTACGACATTTAATATGATTGCTTTTACGTCCACTGAACAGACGGTCAGCGAAACAAAACCTTTAGCACTGGGAGCCAACTTACAGAAAGCAAGTCAAAGTAACAGACAACATAGAGAGAAAAGGTACAAGCAGTCAGACAGATAAACGCAACAAGAGATAAGAAAGTAGGACACTGCAAGATGCAGGCAAATGTGATGAAAGGCCAAAACCGAGGGAGCGTAATCACTAGGTGAGAAAACAAACTGAGGGCACAAATGAGGGGTAAAAAGATGGCAACATGCTTTTTTTTTTTTTCAATCATTACAAAAGGAAAAACTAATAAAAACAAAACACGGTCAAACTCAGCAGTAATAATCACACATCGCATCACAGACAGATATGAGAGCAGATTCACAAACATCTTAATAAGAGGCCTCACGGCTGTGCATAGACGGGAACACGCATGATAAATAATGTGTAAGCAGAAACAAAGGTTGAATGAGCAGCTGCGTTGGTATCAAACACTCCGGCTCCATCACACCATCTCCAAACAGCTACCGATATAAATAATCAGTCTGTCTGAACCAGCAACACAAAATATTGAGGTGCTAAATCTTTATTTTTTTTTATGCCAACATTGTCCAATCCTAGTGTCTGTTTATTCATTACAAATGGACCTAGAGGTTGGTGATGTTTGGACTCGTCTGTGCCTCAAGCTGGCGCAGTGACACGGTGGGACGCACAGATCCGGCTGCGACGGTGTTAACATTCCTGGGCCACCAGACCGGCGCCTCTGATGTCTCTCCGCTTCAAAGTTACGCATTAAAAGACTCACAACAGCAGGTACCTGTTGAGTAGCTGACCCGGATCTCGGCCCCCTGGTTACAAATACATTCAACCTGCTGCATGTTCTTTCAGGCCGTGCCTCTACGTCACATCCTATAAAAGGAAACGTCTTGCTGACAAAACACCACAATCAATCAGGCTGTTTAGCTTTAGCTTCAAAACACACACATTGTGCCAAGGAATGTTTATTCACGTTAGCGCTCAGATTTCTTTGGGATACTAATCTGTTTAAGTTGACCCTCGCAAACACCATGTGCCTCTTACATTGAGCCAGAGGACCTCCTACACTGATGTGACGTCCAAGTAGCACACTGTCTAAATGCATCATCATGTTGTGAGAGTATATGTCACATCCGTTCCATACAGGTGTCACAATATTAAGGTGATTAACAGCCTTAAAATCTATTACCAACACTAACTCTTATGTTTAGGCATTAAAGCCTAACACAATATGTCAAATGAAAGTATTATTCTCATTACTCTCTCATGTGCAGTGCGTTCTTCCATCACATACACACTACAGCAGCGGTGACAAGGTAAATGCAGTTAAATTACCACAAAAATTCCAATAAATTTCTGTATATTCCCGTGGAAAGTTTCCAACTTTAAAATGTTCCAAGAATTTTGCAACCCTGTGTAAAATACTAAGGTGGGTAGACATGTAAAAGCAAACATCACATACACCTTCGATCTTAATTCAAATTAATAGAATAAGATAGCTTCAAAGCACATGTCAGCAATCATTTCATGTACCAACATTTGTTTTTCTTTAAAAAATGAGGTGCCCATTATATAATAAAAGGGCGAGTCATTTTGCCTAACAATGCATCTATAGATAGGTTATATGTAGATAGATATTTCTCCCATGTTTGTAACAACGTCAGGAAAAAACATCCAATGCAAGTCTGGCGAGTCTTCCTGGAAATAACAGAAGTCGTAATCAAATTTAATTTCTGGTCACGATTTCGCTCCGTACACTTGACACTGGACAGTATTCAGAGTAGAGGCCACCTGGAAGGGCACTGCTGGGTGTGAATATACATCAGGGATAGTAAAGTGGCAAGTCAAGAGACGGCAAGAAGTGTGTGCATGGGGGAGAACAACAGCACACATGGAAGTGTGTTTGTGCAGTACCAGTGTGTGTGTGCGTCTCTATATCTGCGTCCTGTGTGGCTGTATTTCGGCCTTGGGCAGCGCTCTGGTGCGTCTATAAAAGTATACTGATCTTGTGAATGTGTGCAGCAGGGTTAATGTACAAACAGAGAGGTCAGGGTCCTAAACACCTGCTTTCTAATGCTGCTTCTAGCGAGCATGGCCGTACCTCACCCCCCCACTCCAATGTGTAGGGAGGGCGAACACACACACAAAACACACGGTGTCCATTGCGGTCTTATTACCATCCTGTCAGAGCCCATTAGACGTAGACTGTGAAGACGGGAGCCTCGGGGAAACTCACACATAGACACCACTTTCCCCCTGGACACCTCGAGACTCCGTGGAATCCACAGCTCAAGCATTCAAGTCATCTATAAAGGGAATTATTTTAGTTTTTTAAACAGACCTAAATATATATATATATATTATATAAATAAATAAAATCAATAGTGATTTTGGTAGTATGTGCTGACGGCCACGTACGTAAACGGGTTCGGCGTCTGCTTTAGCGCGCTCTCATTCTGCTTGACCAGTTATTAGCAGTCTTGACTACAGCATGATAACTGCGCACCGGAAACGTCCCGAGCAGCAGCTAAGCGTGGTAGATTACCCCGAACACCACAGTACATCCTGACCAGTAACTGATCAACGTTAGGGCCAACACTGCAGTTTCCCTGCATGGAGTTGTTCTACCTTGTACAAGTGTTTAGAACATGGCAATTTAAAACAATATTCTTAAATACTTGGATGGCAAGTACAGAACATATATAGCTTGATTACACGTGTCTCCTGTAGTTGGCTCAACTGTCTATTCACAAAGGCTCTGCTCTCTGGTTAGATATCGCCTTTGAAAACAGCCGATTCATCAGCATTATGCAAATATGTATCTGTAGGCCAAGTGTCAGTGCAGAAGTTGTAGACTGCTGATTTTAACAACTCAATTGATTTTTAAGCATTGATTGCGGCCTCTGAACCATGTTTGGTTGCCTGCCAACGAGACTGGCAGAGAAATCTTCTAGCCACAGCCAAAGGTGCTGCGGGAAATGCGGAGCAACGGAGTCAATTCTTTGAGACGATGCCCCTGCTTTTACTTTAACCTCATCAGAGTGCGTGCAGCGTACAGCATCTGCCTATTACGATCGCAACACACGGCTGAGCGACTCCATCGGCGCAATTATTTATGTGCATGCAGAAGATCACAGCTTCTTCTTTCCATGAACGTTTCAATTGTGTTATTAGTAGTAGCACACACCAATGAGTTCAACATCATTCTCAGGGTCTCGCTCACACGCCCCTCTGTCCATTTATTCTATAGTTCGCCCCCTCAGCCGGCTCAAAGGAACAGACTTTCCTCCCCCGTATTTCTCCCAGTTTCATGGCTCCTTTCCCTGCCTGCCTCTCATATTTTGGCTTCTTACTATTTCTCCTAAACCTAAAGACATAGATATGCCCTTTGAAGGAGGTTGGTACGGATTGTTTCAATGTCACACAACGTCACAGTTCATGGCTGAGATAAAAATTGACCAAAAATCTGTGAATAAAATACACTAGCCTCATGTTCTCTGCTGGTGCAGTGAGGTGGAGCCAAAACTACTTGAGTAAGCATATTTTACACCACCCTCAGTGGTCTTGCTTAAAGTAACCCAACGGTAACGGCAATATGAATGCACCGCAATAGCAAAGCTGTTACTACTGCAGAAATTACAGAAACACATCTGCTTTTATTTGTAATGACCGATATACGTCTTTGAATGACAACTGTACTGAGGCTAGGGACGCACAGTCAATCAAATATAAACAGCAATCACGATTTTGGGTGGACGACTGCTATGTAGACCCTTAAATCATCATCGCCGATACTTCCCAAACTAACAGGCAGCTACCACGGTGGCAATGGAGACGTTTGGTTTTATTTGCAGGAATGGAGCAGCACGTGGAATTAAAAGGTGATTTCATTTTGGGTTTTGTTTTGCTTCTAGGAGATGCTCTAAGTAAGGAAGGACCAGTCTTATTTCAAAGATTTGTACATCAGCCGGGCTGAAGCACAAAAAAAGCAGTGAGTTGCCCATTAAAATCTGAATGTAAAATAAAAACATTGTCCCAAAAATAAATTCAAAATTGGGATAACTAATCATGATCGAAATATTGAACTAACCAATCATTTTGGCCATCATCTTCCAGCCCTAAATGAGTCACTTCCCAGATAGCAATCAAATCAGCTATTTTTGTACAGCTCTCCTCATGTGTCATCTGGCACTCTGTACTCATGCCAGCCAAGCTGTGAGGGGCCACAATATTAAACACCAGACGATTGTGTCTGTTACATGACAATATATTTACATGTTTTCATGGTAAATTAGGTAAATAAGACTCAGCTAAAACCTCTGCCACAAAATCACAGCTGTGGAGAATATGCAGCGAACATATAGGGAAGGGAAGAAGAGTCAGGACAGTTTCAACCACCAAAAAACAAAAACAAATAATGACTACGGATGTGACTAAAATGTCAGTGATTTGACCCTAAAAATATATCCATTAATATCCTTTAACATCAGTGAGGGATCTGATTATTATTCATCAGCAATCTATTCCCTGGTGCTTATTCTTCTCCATGACTCCCATTTCAACTTGTCTCTCTCCATCGGTCAATGTACAGCAAACATTTTCACGGGAACAGTGATCTTTTTGACACCATTTATCATTCATGTTTCTGCTTCTCCTCCTTGTTCGTTGCATTCTTGGTAGGGAGGAAAGGTGACGGGTGAAGCCATATGTTTTGATGGATGTGCTATAAAAGCAAACAGTGTAGTTCGTTCACAGTAAGAGAGGATGTGTAATTCAGGACAGGGGGGGAATTGGGGCCTGTGCCTGCCCCGGGGTTGAGGTACCGACCGTGAACTGCAAGGGGACATTTGTTGCATGTCACCCCCCCGCCGCCCCGCACCCTGTTGCTCGCAGTCTCTCAAAGA